TATCTTAGCTTTACATCACTGACAAAGTGTGATAAAAGCGGTTATCTTGAAATTTTCAAGCATGGCCATGAGTTGAAATAGCAAAGTGAAAAACCAAGAGTGGTAAGAAGGACACATGGAGAGAAAAGACAAATGCTTTAGAATGTATCCAGAAGGCTTTCCCTCAGTCACAACCAGGAGTGTCCTAGTCTATCTGGGCTCTTGATCTTTCAGAGGCAGCCCTTTGTAAACAGTGCATGATATAACTTTTGTCAGGTTCTCACCACAGTCTAGAAACTCCTAAACCTGTTGTAATAATAACATGTTTAATCCTCACAGAGAGCCTTTTGTGAAGAAAGATGTATTTTATGTTGAAACTCAGAGAATTTGAATACCTGGTCACTCAGTAAGAACTGCAGTGGAGATTTGGGAGGTAGATGGGGGCTAGAGGGAACAGGCTACTAAGTTCTAGAATGCACTTCCTCCAGTGGTTCTCATGTGAGTGTTTTGACTTGAGGATAGTTTAATAATCACATAAACTATGTTGATTAAACTTGCTGCTATCATAAAAATTTGAAATAATGTTTGCAGCCCATGTCTTACTCTCTCATCTGGCTTCATACTTGCCCAGTAGTCAGTCCTCATCTGACAGGATCCACCAAAGGAAGGGGGCAGTATCAAGACAGAAGAGAATGCATCAGGGTCACAGGCATTTACATTCAACAGTGCTGCATAAATTAGTTGAAAGGTGGCGTCCTTCATACTTCTCCTTGGAGCTCCTTCCTTCACTTTGCAGATTTAATAGAGGACATGTAAACACACGTTTTCTGAGCAAACACCTTCTTTCCTTTATAATTTTTGGTCTGAAACATACCCGACAGATATAAAAAATTTCTGTAGCATGAGAGAAGATGATGTGATAAGTAACTATATAAGCTATATTATCAAATGATGAAGGGGGAGGAGGATTATCTTATTGAGTATTAGTTAATAAGTCTTAGCGTTGCCTGTTACAAATTGTACTAAAAAGGGCTGGAGGGATGACTCAGTGATTAAGAGCACTACCTGCTCTTGCAGAGGACCTGGGTTTGGTTCCCAACACTCATGTGCAGGCTAATGACCTTACATGACTCCAGTTCTAGGGGATCAGATGCCCTCTTATGGCTTCCACAGGCATTCCGTGACTCACATTCATACACATAATAAAAATAAATCAAAAAAGAATTTTTAATTGTAATAAAGATGAGCTAATTTAGTTTCTTAAAATGGACCTTTTATTTTTAATGTTTTAAATTTTTGAGTTATATCCCAGCTCTCCTTCTACTGTTTTGTTTTATTTTTAGACAGGATCTCACTCAGCTACCCAGGCAGACTTTGAATTATGATCTTCTTTTCTCAGCCTCCTGAGCAGCTGGGGTTGCAAACCTTTAATATTTTAGAGCTATTTCAGTAGCTCCGTGTGTATGCTGAGGTCTCCCCAGAGTGCACCCTCTCTGGAAGCACATGACCCAAAATTGTCATTACTCTTTCTTTGCTCTTGGTTGAGACTTCCATATTATCACAAGAACACAATGTGCTCCGTCACAGTCCAAATTTCTGAGTGATTCAAGATAAAGACCCAATTGTGAAATACTTAACCTTAAGAATAAGAATATACTTATATAAAAATAATCTAAAATGAGATATTATTTCAAGAAGTAAAGATTGTTTCTTATAGTTCTACAGTGACTCTCACTAAAAAGAAGAGACTCAGGTTTAGAACCCAAGAAAGATATGCATTAACACTTAACTATTTATATTATAGACTGAGATTTTGAAAGACAGATATTCTAAAACCTCGTTGACATGTACCTAGATCATGATCCTTATTATCTATTCTGGGGTAGAAAAATGGGAATTTATAATCATTTTAACTTCATGTACTTTTTAAAAATTATGTGTGTATTTGTGGGTCTGTGTCTGTGTGTCTGGGTCTATGGGTCTGGGTCTGCGTGTAGATATGTGCACAAGAGTGCAGGTGGACCCTAAGGCCAGAAGAAGTCGTTGCATACCTGTAGGTGACTCTGAGCTGCCCAATGTAGATCCTGGGAACAGAACTTGGGTCCTTTGCAAGAGTAGTATATGCTCCTAACTACTTGAACCATCTCTCCAGCTCCTCCATTCACAGTTTTACAATTGTTCATTAAGGACTCGTTGCACTTATTTCTGTCAACTTATGCCTGGTGCAAAATGAATTTTAAAGCACCTTAATAACTTGCTTGTGATCACATCATACAGTGTGTTAAGGTATAATTTCATTGATAACATTTATTCAGTGAATCATTCAGTGTTGATGAAACAACCCCATGGTACTCAGTATTTAAGCATAATGTATTTTAAAATATATACACATATATAAAACCTTAGGGTGGTTGAGGAGAAAAGTTTTGAATCAAATGAATCTTAATTTAAGCTTGGATTGTTCATTTTTTTAAATTTTTAATTGAATCTTTGTGTATTTCGTACAAAGAATCTTAATCATCTTTATACCTCCTCTCCCGTCCACCCTCACTGGATTTTATTCATTCTATCACTTATCTTAAGGCCTATGGAGTCAAGTTAGTATATCCAAAGGTTCCTCATTGCAAGTTCATCCACTAGGGTTCTAGTCAGCCTATCTAGAGTCATTCCCTCAGCCCACAATAATCACCTGCCAGTAGTTCTTTGGCTAAGATTGGGGCCTGCTGCCCATTTCTTCAGTTCTGTGCTGGGTTTTTGACTGCTTGAGTTTGCATGGGTCTCATGCATGCTGTCACCATAAGAGCGAGGTCCCAGGAACCTGTAAGACTATTTCCATATGGTCATGCACCACCTGCCCTGGCTCTTATAACCTTTCTGCCCCCTCTTTCTCAATGGTCACTGACCCCATTGCAGGGTGGGTGGAGTTTAATATAGGAGTCCTGTCCAAAGACCCATACTTTGCAGACTTTCTCTATGTTTTGGGACTTTTGTGCCCTTTTGTATTCAACACCCTCTGTTACCTGGGAGAGCTTCATTGATGAGAGTTGAGAGACACATTAGTGTCCTCTCTACTCCTTCTTCCACTGTGTTCTGTGAGCCTTAGGTGTAGAGGTTCTGTTGTAGATGTGTCACTTGAGGTTGGGCATCTCACACTTATTCTCTATGTGTGACCTGTTGAGGAACTCTGTAATAGTCTCCATCTGTTGCAAAAGAAGTTTCTTTGATGAGTGGTGACTAGCATACTTGTCTGTAAATCTAAGGCTTCATATTTAGCATATAGTAATAAATTATATTTGTCTAGGGATGTGACAGCCTTAGGATTTTCTCTTAAGATCATGACGTCTCTAGCCATGTGTATTTGGCTATGTTTACAGTACCACACATGAGTTCCCTCATAGTGAGGGAACCAATTAAGTAGCTGTTGATTACTCCCAAGATAAATATGCCACTACTGCCTCACTGTAGTTTGCTGTACTGATCATTGCTGTGATTATTAGAACTAAAAGCTGGGGTTGGACCATTGTTTGATATTCTCTCTTGGCAGTTTTCACAGTGTCCTCAAAAACTGTGAGAGCTAGCCTTCAGGGAGGAAGCTTCTTCAAGGTCAGTTCCAGCTCCATTGCTCTAAGTCCTATGCCCAAAGTATATCTTCTCTTCAGCAGTAGGAGAGTCTGGCAGGCAGTCAAGGGCTGTGGCAATGGCTCGTGTAATTTGGGGAGTCTCTTGGACTACCCGGGTCAACAATTGGAAGGGAGGTTTGTCCTGTCTGGCACTGTTTCTTTTTATGTAGCCTTCAGCTATGTAACACATGTAGAGCTACTGTATGTGTAATTTTTCAATAGGCTTTTGAACTAATAAATTTCTCTCTGGTTTCTCATACAAGCTAAGCATTATTTATGTTCTCTCTCTCTCTCTCTCTCTCTCTCTCTCTCTCTCTCTCTAACCCTCCCTCTTTTTCCCCAGTTAAAGTACCCCCATTTTCCCTATTTCACCCTTGATAATACTTGTCTCCTATGTTCCCTCTCTCGAGCTCCTTCTTCCCTTTTACTCTTGTGACTCCTTGTATAACCCTCCCTGTTCCACTCCCATTTAAATGCCCCCATTTTACCTAGTTCTTCCCCCTTGGTAACACCTGTCTCCTAACTGTTCCTCTCTCAATTGTTCATGCCTCTAGTGACCTTGTCAAACTATATAACCTGTCTGTCCTGTTTGCCTGTCTGTTCAGCAGAAATTATAATGTGTGTCCTGAGGACTTCAAAAGATGCAAAAGTAACCAATACCAAGTGAAAAGAAAGACTTTTTAAAATTTTTTGGTTCCAAAAAAGGATGATAAATTTTTTAAATTCCCAGTACTTTGTTACAGTTCCTCATATGCTTGTTTTTTTGGGTGCCTAATAATAAAATTTTCTTCCTAAAAAATTCTTTTAGAATTTCAATTTAATTGATTTTCTTTTATTTCTTAGTAGCACATGAAATAATGGCATGTTGTATTGGTTATATATTAGATCCAGCAAAACATAGTTTTCATAGTTTTGCTGATACATATCAATATTTCTTCTTCTTTGGGAAGCAGCATGAGTAGTGGGCATAAGGTATTAACCTCATTTGTACATGGATTTTGCCAAATTCCAGAGCCCATCTTTGCCTCATCTCTTATGTGCAAGAAAAGGCCTATCCCAAGACATTGTTAGAGGTGATATAAGAGAAATCACTTTCTTAAAAGGATCCCATGTAAAACTATTGCCTCCATAACAGCAGTGGCCTCCACTATTATGACCACCATTTTTATAGTCATTTGTGAATTAGTAGATCTGGATGCTAGAGCAAGTTCTGCAACTAATTGACTTTGGATCTTGAGCAAAGGATGTGGTTTTCTGCCTCATTTTCCTATTATGCAAAATATCTTTTTAACTAAGATTAACTCCTAAGTAAATTTTGATACTAAAATTTTGAATTTTATTTTCTAATTCAGATTCATAGCCTATTTTAATCATAAAATGAATTTTATTTTTATCTTTCAGTTTGTGGGGACATCCATGGACAATTTTTTGACTTAATGAAGCTCTTTGAAGTCGGGGGCTCTCCTGCCAACACTCGCTACCTCTTCTTAGGGGACTATGTGGACAGAGGGTACTTCAGTATCGAGGTAAGTGCATCTACACATTTTCACTTTGAGCTCCTCAGTCAGTAAATTAAGAGTGATAAAGTCACTGCCTTGCAGAAATCCCCAGTCTATAAACAGAGTTTTGATGTGCACAATTGATTGGGGTAAATGCATCCCATTTTCCTGTATGTTTTCTGTGCAGATATGTCAAAGAAATGAGAGTAAGATTTTGCCTTTTATGCATGTTTTATGTATTTGAAAGATTGTAAAACTAATGGATGGTTCTATTTCATCTTGAAAGAACTAGTCTAAGTGGACCTGAGTTTGCATGTTTATAGCTTATAATTGTGGGACGATAAGTTCATATGATGATAGTGCATGTGTGTCTGTAGATGTGTGAGGATTCTGGCAGCTGCTGCGTTTGGTCTGTTTTAGCACCTGTCACCTAACTAGGGTAGTGTGTACATTATTAACCAAAATAAAACAGATACTTTGAGTACAGGTTCTTGCCCAGCCTCTCGGCACCTGCTTTGGGGGAGTGGAAATTACACTCAGGACAAAGTTGAGGACCTTTTTCACTCAGGATTCTTTCACCTGGTGCCCAACATGCTGTCTTGAGACACTGTCAGCAGTTACAGATAGAAAGAAATGGTTCCAGAGAAAAGAAAATTTTGAAATTACAGGTCATGAATAGTAGCTGGTATCGGTGTCTGTTTCAGGAAACAGAAAAATTAACATTAAAATAATTATTCTTATAAAAATAAATTAGCACTGTTCTTTTTTTAAATGTTTTATTATTTTTTTATTTTCTGTGTATGAGCATATTGCCTGCATGTATGAGAATGCACCCATGTCATGCAATGCCTTGGAGGTCAGAAGAGGGCTTTGGATTCCCCTGGAGCTGTAGTTAAGGATGGTTTGTAGGTGCCATGTGGGTTCTGGGAATTGAACCCGGGACTTCTACAAGAGCACTCAGTGCTCTTAACCGCTGAGCCGTCTCTCCAGCCCCAGCACTGTTCTTTCAGTAGTGAATCAGTATTGCTGATGCCTCACACCATATATTCACAGTCATGAAAGATTCTATGCTTTTAAATATTATATTTCAATATTTGATATATTAAACGAGTATTTCTTGCTAAAACAATATATTACCCTCAAACAGGTTTTACATTAAAACTGTTGTAGCAATTGACAGTTTTAGCTATTCATGAAGTTCACCTGCAACTGACTCTTTCTTTGTATATACATAACATAAAATGTATATTTAGTATATATACACACACGTGTATATATGTATGTTTTTGTGTATATAGAAAGCATTTATAAATGACATAAGTACATAAACTTTAGTATTTCCTCTACTGATAAACAGGTACATATGTGCTATGAATGATTCAGACTATGTAGAAATGTAACCTGCCTCCTTGCTCTCTAGAAATTTAAGTTCATAAAGAAAATATGATTATAACAATTTATATAAAAATCAAAGCCTAGAATCTGTGGTCACCCAGGATTCAGACTTTTGTAATTGTTGTTACTGTTGTTTTGTTTGTTAGTGCTGGGATTCAAACCTAGGGCCTAATAGATGCTAGGCAAATGCTCGACCACTAAGCGACAATCCTAGTTCTTTTTCTTTTCTGTCGAAAAATCAAGGCTTCTAAATCTCTTGCCTCAAGCAACTGAAATAGTCTAAACATCTTCTCATTAGGGCTTTCTAGCACTCTGGGGGAAAAAGAAACTTGGAAAGTAGAAATCACTGTCTTACTCTCATGAGATGTTTAGGATCTACAGCCAGTTGAGATATATGAAATAAGAAATTTGCAACATTTTATTCTGCTCACTTTAAAATTCATGCAAAGAAACAGTACATTTAAGAATTCTGAGATGCAAGGCATAGTGGCACTCACCTTAAACCGCAGCATTTGAGAGGCAGAGGCAGGAGGACCTCTGTGAAACTGAAGCCAGTCTGGTCTATATAACAAATTCCATGCTGGTGGGAGCTGCAGAGAAAACAAACAAAAGTTCTGAGATGCATATGTTGGAGTCTCCATCTTCAAAAACAGCTCTTCAGTTAAACTGAAAATACAGCCCTGTGATTCGATGCACACATCCATTCTTGTAGAATGATCCGTTTGGATTAGACCTTTCTGGAGCTTTGAAATGGCTATGATATCATCGTCATATTAAAATAGAATGGACATGTATATAAAATATACTTACTAAAAATATTTTAGGGGGCTGGAGAGATGGCTCAGTGGTTAAGAACACTGTTCTTGAAGAAGACCCAGTTCGAATTCCAGCACCCACATGGAAGGTAACAACTGTCTGTAACTCTAGTTCCAGGGAATCCTGGAGCCTCTTCTGTTCTCCATGGGCATTGCATGACACGAGTGCACTTACCTACATGTAGGCATAACACTCATACACATAAATAAAATAATAAAATAGTAAAAATAATAAATAAAACTTTTAAAAAAAGAATATTTTAGGATCTCATGTGGACTAAGGACGCTGCCTTTATTTGCTTACTGTAAGTGTTGTTAGTTGAATGTAGTAAATGATCTCATTTATTCCTTGAAGCTCTGGAAGGAACCTGTAAAAACCTTCCTGTGATAGGGTCCCAAAACTGAGGCTGAGAGAGGATCTAGGATTTTAAGGCTATACTTGACCTCTACTATCCCAATCCCTGGTCATAGTACACTGAATGTACCTCTAGAAATGGCACATGCATAGTAGAGAAGCTTATACACAGTTACATATACTCATGCATGTATACACATATACACACACTCCCCACCCCATCAATATATATAAAATATATAAACTATTCTCTGTGCGAGATTGTTGGCTTGTGAAAACTCCTAGAATAAGAACTTGATTTCTTAGTGTGTGTTATCTTAACAGGTTTCAAAAGCTTCTGGCTTCATGTCAGTAATTCAAACCTGCACTGCACTCTCCTGAGGCTATCCTCTCAGCAAAGAGGACACCTACCTTTAATTTCTAGCAAATCAGCTTTGAAGAGCAGCTCTTATTTCTAGTGGACTTCCTGAATCCAGTTACAGGCTGTGAGTAATGGGCTCTGGGCAGTACAGAAATCTCATTTTATGCACCACTACCCCCATACACCCTTATTCAACTTTCTCTTTTTGCCATGATTAGAAATCATTTCCCCCAAAGCTAGCCCAAAACACACCAGCTCTTGAGTAGTGATGAAAGAGGTAATTTTGGTTTTGGCTACAATTTGTCTTACAACAAATCTTCTTTCTGGCGATTGCATTACACTACCGAATCTCTTTGATGAAGCATATGTGTATATATAGTTCCTCGGCTGGCTGTGTTTCTCTGAGAACCCTAGGCAAAGCTCAGAGTCTGCAAACAGCAGCATGCACAGCTGCTTCCTTCTGTTTACCTCATCAGGTTCTTTGCAGCCATTCTACAATGCACCCTGGTGCTCTGGAGCAGTGGCGGGGGGGGGAGGGGCTTCCTTTTCCACCTATGTTGTCCAGATCTAAGTCCAGGCCTCCAATACATTGGAGTGTGAAAATTTTTATGTTTATTAGCTGTGTACTCATGGACCAGAATGAACCTCAGCAAACCAAGTAGGGGTCCATGTTTCTGCCTGAAAACAACAAGCAAGCAGCACAGCATGTGATGGAAGGTGACAAAGTAGGGCCATGGACGTGAGGAAGACGTCACGTAGCTGTCACCCGTAGCCAACCAGCTCAGTAGTGCACGACTGTTCCACTGCCGTCTTTTCCGACGCATTACCCCAGGCAACCAATGTCTTAGAGAAGTCACACGCCACGTTGCAAGAGTTTGGAACTTTTCCAAGTTCATGGACAACCCCCACTTAGTTATCCATGACCAGGAAGCATCACTTTTGCCTGGGAAGTTTCACAGCCCACAGTGGCCAGTCTGGGGAGCTGATCTCTCGATAACTAACACTATGCATTTTCTTTTGGCTTCCTTGCTTTCTCTTTTCCATTCTTCTTTGCAATTCCCAAGCATTCTATCAGTTTTGCAGGATTCCTTAGGATCTAAGAGCCTAAATCACAAAGTAAATTATCCTGTTATTATTGGTGAACCAAGTGAACTAAGAAAACAGTGTCCTAAGTGCTGTATTATTGGGAATGGTTCATAAATTAGAGAAAGCTATGTCTGCAACAGAAATTAGCTCAGTCTTTCATATAGAGTACGTCTAACTAGAAGTTGTAAATATTGTTTAATTAATGATAGGAGTGGGTTGAAATGATTAGTATAACTCATTCATTTCACCATGCCAAAAGGTCCTTGTAACCTGGAGCCCTTTCCACCTTAACCAGCTCACTGCTGATTCAAATTAGCCACCCAGTATACTACATAGACTTAAACAGACGTTATCTGAATATTTATTTCTTCTGCTTCATTAATTGTAATAGTTTTTGTGACTCTGTACTTATTATAAACTAACGTCAGGTTATAATTTTGTTAAACATCTTTGACTCTCTAGAATGTCAGAACTTTATTTGGAAAAACAGTTGCCAGCAAGACCCTGCTGTGTTTGGCAGCTCTGTCCCACCAGATGTCGTGAGTGAGGCCTGGTGGTGCCCCTTCATTTACCCAGCCACTTCTTCCTGCTGCTTGTGTTTGTGGTTTTATTTAGTGTTTGGGAAGACAGTGTATTCTCACCACAGGAGGAAAGGAAATAAAATGTGAAGGAATAAAGAAAAAAAAGAAACCTCCCATTTTTAGTGTTTCAAGTCAAAGATTTAGAAACCGAGTTCTTTCCCTTCTTTCTCCTCTTGGTTATTTTCCCTTCCCTCCCTCCCTACTTCCCCTGTCTTCCCTTCTTTTTCATCTTCAAAATAGAGAGAATATTTCCTAAACTTCTACCATGTGCTAGGTTCTTTACAGCCCCTGTACATCTGTAAGGGAAATTAAATATGTATTGTGTCATTTTTAACTTACACATAGGTATACTAGAAATTGTTAACATAGAACATTTCTATATCTCTCTTTCAAGTTTCAGTTATGAAAGCACTCCAGTAATTTAGAACAGAAAT